TAGGAGGAAGCAAGAGAGAAACAAGGACTCCTAAAACTGTAAAGTTTAATTAAAAAAAAAAAAAGCGATTATTAATTCTTTTTCCAATTTTTTGTTGGGATTTTTTTTTTTTTGGTTGAATCGAGGCTTCCTTTGTTTATCGGAGGATGCAGGAGAGAAACCAGGAACGGGAGGATAATGTAGGGTGAAAAAAATTAACAGCTTTCATTATGTTAAATTTTAATTTACTTTTTTACTTTATTATAAGAAAATTCCTCTCTAGTATGACAAAATCATTTGTGTTGTTTCAAAAAAAATTTATAAAAAAGTTAAAATGGTCTTTATTATTACTTAAAAGGTCAAAGCTCTATTTATATCATTTTTTTTTGTTAACGTATTAAATTAATTTTTTGTTTTAGATACCACTTTTTATTATTTAAAACTTGTAAAAGCTTAAAAATTATTAGTTAAATCTTTTATTTACATCTTAAATTTATAGTTAAAGCCCTTATTTATACCGTAATTTTGTTAGTAATTTATAATTTTTTACAAATTTTAAATTATAAAAAGTATTAACTAAAACGAAAGTTAGTTTAACTACATAAAAAAATAATGTGTAAAGGGCAAATAGGAGGTTTAACTTATTTTTAAAATATATCACTTTAATTCCTTTTCATAATAATTTATTAAAATAATATAATTTCTTTTTTATCTTAAAATGGTATTGTGTTAAATATTTTTTCACTTATATATATATATATATATATTGTAAATTCAACTAACAAACACTAAATTACCGGCCTGAAATAAGGGGATCCAGATAGTTACGATAATACACTTGTCACAATCACTAGGATTTTCTCCAAGATGATGAGAAAATTTCTTCAGAAGGTTGTAGGAAAGCCGATATATATATATATATATATATTGATGAAAGGAAAGCTAATATTTTGTTTAGTATATTTTATAATGTATTGTATAATTGAGAATAATTTTTCCTTTCTCCAATCCTTTATTATAATTAATTAAGTCTACGTTATACTAATTAGTTGTTTTCACTCAGTTCTATTTTTTTTGGTTAATTTTCTTAGTGTTTCTTGGTAACGAAACGGTATATTTTGTTGAATTTATACATTGTCTAATTTATTTTAAACAATATGATCAAACATGCTAGATTTCCTTAGGAGCCTTGGTAGCTGGGATTGAATGAATAAGAGAGGAGGTAGGTTGTAAAGGAGTTCACTGCAAACAGACGGAGAAAAAAACTAATTAAGAATTTTTTTAATGAATTTTAATTGTTTAATTAATTTATTTATTTTTTACTGAGTGTGTTACTTTTCACTCTTTTATTAATCAAGCCCTTACGGATGGCTTTTTTGAGAGTTCATTGTTGCAAGCACACAGTCTTAATTCCCAAGGGTGAGAATCCAAATATTGTCCAGAAATTTAAGCCTATTTGCGTTCTTAATGTGGCTTACAAAGTCTTGTCTAAGGTAATAGTTAATAAATTACAACCTTCGCTCCAACACTTAATTGGCCCTCTTCAAAATAGTTTTTTGCCTGAAAAAAGCACAACAAACAACATCATCCTAACTCAAAAGGTTGTGCATTCTATACGAAGAATGAAGGGTAGAAGAAGAGCTTTGGCTTTTAAAATTAATCTCCATAAAGCTTTTGACAGTGTGGATTGGGAGTTTCTTTGAATAGTGCTATTGGACTTCAATAACACGATACCTTTAATTCATCTAATTATGTTCTTGGTTACTTCTCTTTAGTTATCAGTCTTATGGAATGGGGAGTAACTTCCTCCTTTTGTTCCTTAACGAGGAGTGTGACAGGATGATCCCCTTTCCCCTTATTTGTTTATTATGGTAATAGACAAATTGTCTCATATGATTTGCAGCAGAGTTAATTCAAAGCTTCAGAAGCCCTTTTGGATCTCAAAGAGAGGTATGGCTTTGTCTCACTTGTTTTTTGCTAGCGATCTTATATTATTTTGTGAAGCATCTCAGTCGTAGGTGGAAGTGGTTATAGGCTACATCTTTGAATTTGCTAAATGATTTGGCTTGGACATCAACCTTGATAAATCTAAATTATTTGTGTCTCCTAATATTCAATCTCATTTGGCTAATATAGTCAATGTTGCTAGTGGAATTCCATTAACTCATAACCTGGGCACTTATTTGGTGGTCCCAATCATTCATGGGCTTGTGTCTAGCTCCACTTATAAACACATTATTAAGAAGATTAAAATGCAATTGGCAATATGGAAATAGAAATCTCTAAGCTTAACAAGAAGAAGAATCTTGATGCAATTAGTCACTTATTCTATTCCTACTTACACAATGCAATCTGTTTTGCTTCTAAGTGCTACTTGCATGGCCATTAATCACATCAACAAGAGTTTTTTATGGGGTTCGAATTCATCACCATATAAGCCCCATCTTGTTCAATGGGAGGATGTTTGCCAATCGAGAGCTCTAGGAGGTTTAGGTCTCTGCTCCGCAAGGAATAAAAATATAGCGTTGATTGTTAAGCTTGGGTATTTGTTAGCTACTAATTGTGACAAGCCTCAGTGTTGTGCTCTTAGACATAAATATCTGCATTCCTCTGACTTTATGAATTATCCTCTTACTCCATTATCCTTAGTTACTTGGAGGAGTATTTTAAAGTGCAAAGAGGCTCTACAGCTTGGCATACGATGGAGTGTTAACTCGGGCTCTTCCATTAGCCTCTAGAAAGATGTTTGAGTTGTATCCTCGAACTTGATAAAGTATGCATAAGACAACTTGACACCCACACAATTAACAAATACAATGGCTAGTGTCATCACCCTTAAGAGAAAATGGGACATTAGGCAACTAGAGCAGTTATTCCCTAAGTCCATTATTAACTCCATCATGGCTATCCCTCTATCTGTAGATCAATCATTGGAAGATAAAGTTTACTGGGAGTTAATTGAGTGGAGAATTCTCAATAAAGTCTACTTACCATTGGTTGCAATAAAGTCGAGTTCCTACCTCCTTACATGTTGGTGAGTGTTTTTGGATATGGCGCTTAACATGTGAGTGAATTAAAATGTTTGTTTGGCTCCTTATAAGGGGTTGAGTTCCCACAAACTCAATTCATTTTGACCGCCATATAACATTTTCTCTTATATGTCTGAGGTGTGAGCAAGCTCCTAAGACTCCTTTTCACCTTCTATGAGATTACTATTATTCTTACTTAACTTGGGAGCTCACTAGATCATTACCACAAAATTTCTTCTCCTTGGATTTTGACACATAGTTGAGGAACAATGCTACTAGTTTATGGCATGCTAGAGTCCCACACAACCACTAGCCTCCTTTTTTCTTATCCATGATTTGGTCCTTATGGGAAAGCAAAAACAAGTTGATTTTTAGTCCTTGTAGACTCCCACCTACTTATGTTTATCATGAAGCCCACGCTTTGACCATTGACACACAAATGGCTCTTGCTTCAAATATTTTACAACCCCAGCAAGCTTCAAGGTAGGTGAGGTGGTATCCACTCGACCTTCCATTCTTCAAGTTAAATATTGATGATGCCATGTATCATGCTTCTGGTCATACTTTTGCAAGGGGATTAGTTTGAGACTCAATGGGTCATTGGGTTCATGGCTTTGCAACCCACATAGGCACCACTTCAAGCTTTATGGTAGAATTGTAGGGGTGTAGAGAAGGTTTAAAACTAGCTTGCCAACTGGGTTTTGATAACGTAATTTTAGAGATGGATTCCTTACTTGCTGTCTACATGATCCAGGATAGAAAAGAGGTGGAAGGTTTTACTTTAGTTCTATTT